CTAATCTTCTCCGAATTGAATCGGTAGCCAAAGCTTCGCACACCCCTAATATAGAGTTAAAAATGGTTCATTGCAAAGGGACATAGAAAAACCTGCATAGATCAGATAAAAATGTAGGATTCCAAATCATAATACAGATCAGTCCATTTAGCCATATTAGTGAGGAAAAGGTCAGAAAACGGAAAGTAATGTACAATGGAAAATGAATGTTATGCCAGAGAGACCACAGCTCACATGAATTAAGTTAGACATCTTTGGGAGGAGCAGAAGTGGGTGAGATGTTAAAAGAAAACTCCACATTTACACAGCTCTGTGCTTAACATGAACCTATCCCTGCAAACACATCACTGAATACATCTGTATCCCACACGAATGCCCAGACTTCCTGTAGGTACCTAAGATCATTTTTTACCTAAGGAACAGTTCTGTTTATTAGTACCAAAGCTCTAATCTACACCTGACTTAACCACTTACATGCTTAAACTCAAGAATGTGCTTAAGCTCTTTGTACAGCCAGACTCTGACTGCCTTTCTTGTATTGACCAAATATATCAGAAAATATGAAATAATAGCATTTTTGGGGTGTAGCTCAGCAGTTCTTAGCCCATGAAGACAAATCTGTGCCAGTTTTGCCAAAGCAAAAATTGAGTAAGAACATACATGTTTTGGTGCTAGGTAAGTTTGATCAGGAGCACAACTGCATCTCTCTTTGAAACCAGTAACTACTTGGATTTTTTATTAATGTCTTACTAGAAGAATGGCATCACTTCACTATTTACAGGCTGTGATGACTGCCCGGTAAAATAAGGAAATTTGATCAAGACTTGAATAAATCAGGCAGAATTTTCTTTTAAAATTAGCACTGCTACACAGAACTACCAATTCAGTGTTGTACGGTTGTGACTATTTGTGCATTTCAGGAGTTGGCTGTATTACACAGAGGCAGTCTACACTGGGTGGTAGTCCATGAAAGCTCTCAGCCCCTTCCCAGAAAATGTAAAAGCCTTATTTCCCTTAACAACATGCTTTCTGCATTTTCTATTCTAGAGGACAATACAAAACGTGGGATAGGATAAGCAGCATGTGGTCTGTTGAAGCAGTGGGCCAGACCATCAGCCATGCCAATTCACACTAGTTGATGATCTAGTCTGGTGTCTGGCTTTCCATTTATTGCAATCTACAGGGATCCAGGCATCAGTGCAGAAACGTTGTCCTTCCCCATGGACCCAAGCAAAAGCCCTAGCTCATGAAGTACTGAATAGATTCAATCAGATCTAAGGCTTTCAAGTCCCATTTTCCTTCATATCATATCATCCCTGCCCTTTATTTTAATCACTGCAGTCTCCTGCACCCAAGGCAAGCAGTCACCAGGAAGACTGCCTTGCTGCTCTGTAATCAGCTGCAACAGGGTATTAGAGGACGTGGAATGTTGCTTTTCCAAGTATTTCTCTTGCATTAGTCAATTAAATACTCAGGATACAACACTGGGGTTCATTTTAGCAAAGTTGTACATAAACTAGTATTACACAACATTGGCAGTTTGTAATGAATTTTGGCTAAGTTTAAACCAGTCTGGTATGTCCTATATCCAAAGACTATACTGCTTTAGAAACAGGTGCATGCAGTTTTATGCTAGCTCTCATTTAAATATTATTATGACACTGGTTTGTATCTACATTTGGAAATATCACCTATTTGTGACGTTCAGTCAGCACAATTTGAGTTTTCTTTTGCACAGAAGCTACTTTTGAAATAAGATTTGGGGGGGTTTCTTTTGAAAGAAGCAGTTTGCAGGTGCTCGCCACCTAGATCTATTACTTACGCAGTTCTGTAAATAAATGTAGCCCTTCCCAAAACTGGTAGGAAACAAAAGAAATCTAAGAGTGAATGAGTTTAACATTAGGCAGGCCACAACTTACACATTTCAGATCACACACCTGATTATTATTGAGCACTTTCAGCTCCAATAACTCCAATTGGAAATTTATCCTCCAGGAGCAAACCTTTCTACAGGCAAGGCTTCAGTTGCAGTAGATCAATTTATGAATGATTCCTTCGAAAAGTAGGCATGAAGGAAGTGGAAGGGCTACCCAAGGACAGTAGAAGCAAGAGAGCAAGGCTTAGGAGGTAGCATAAGGAGTAGTGTGAAAAAGAAGTGCAAACAGTGGTAACAAAGGATGAAGGAGGAGGGAATGAAACAAATATGAAATATAGGAAATAAAATTAAAGATGCTGGTGTTTTGATGTGTTGTGTGAGGACGGGTTTTAAATTGATGCAGTAGAAGTCAGGAAGCCAAATGAAGGGCTAGCAGATATCTTAACAGCTCCTAAGGGAACATACATTGCATTTATCCCAGGATAAACCATTTTATCCTTGGACAGAGTGTAATTGTTCAGACATCCATGCCTGTTGTCCCAGACAAAGCCTAGAAAGGTTCATGGGATAAGAAACACTAACATTTTATCTGAACAGTGATCCTGGGATTGCATCACTGAATCAATTTCAGAAAAGCGGCAGTATGTTCAGCTGCTCTCCAAAACCTGATTAGAAGGGTGATGTATGTACACACCAATCCTAGGATATTTCTGTTCAGGGACAAATACAGGTACAGCTTGTCCAGGGACAAATGCAACATCTGTTTCTAGCCTTATTTCCAGGTGACGTGCCATCATCAATAATGAACATTCATGTTCTTGCACTCACTTGTCAGAAATTGCTTCTTCGTGGAAACTTGAAGTTGTATGTTATTTTCCTTTGCAACAATGAAGTGGAATCAGTTGGATGAAATCATCAGTTATCCAAGCCAAATCCAGGGGCTTCCAGTGCTTGCTTTCCTTTGCTGTAATCAGAGATATCATAGTTGCAAATGACACTGAGACAGCGAGATGGATGGCACCATATTACCAGCTAACAGAGTTCAATTTGTTTCATACACTTGGCTGATCAATGGTCCTGCGAATCCTGAACACGCTGTCATGAAAGCAGTCCCTCGTATCTAATCAATCAGATCCCTCGCCACTGCCAGAGTGGGTGTCACTGCTGAATGAAGCAATCAACACTGAGGACTTTTTAAGGTGTGAAGGCAAATCAGTCACTGAGGTCTCTTTAATGATTGAGCAGATTTCATATACTCTGATGTTGGAGCATGCAAATAGGCAAAGCGTTAGCAGGGCTGATGAGGGCTCAGAGGAAGCAGACATATATGTAGGGCAAAATCCCAACTACCTGGAAATCCATAGACGAAGTACCATTTGGGAGGAACAGCTCCATCTTTTCTGATTGTAGAAGCACAAGGTCTTTTAGGAGTCTAGTTTTTAATTCAGAAAATGAATCAGAAAAAAATGGTTTATTTTCAATTACAAAATTCTACCTCTTGTTGGGCTCTCATCTGTTTCCTCTCCTGTCAAGTTATTATGCATGTAATAAGCTATTCTTAATGACATTGTCAGCTGGTTCATACATTTTGGGGAAAAAATGGGGAACAGATTCTACTTCTTCTCATAGCCGTTGGTTGCCAATTTAATTTCGCTCATCATTAAAGGCAACCCACTGATCACTTAAAATGTCTTCCTCCCACCCTCCCTCATAGGGGATATCCCAGGAGCTGTTATGCCTCAACAACCTTATATTTATCCTATAGAAGGAGATAGCCATGTTTTTTTGCCCCAAAGCTAGTGGGTGATATATATTTGAGGAGCTTGTGGACATTTGTGGTAGATGTCATTGGCAAAGACCGTGAGTTAAGCAAGCACCATAGAAGGTGCCACATTGAAGAGACATGACAAGATTGAGGTAGTTGGAAAAGTTCCACTGAAGCTTTTTTTTAAAGCTCCATTAAATAGCATAGAGGACACTGAGCCTCTTCACCCAGCGGGCATAACTTAATGCTCTTTGATTTTGTTAAGCCAGTACCTCTGGGCCAGTGAGCATTGCAAAATCGTTTGCACCTGCTCCCTCAGTGTGCTCTGGAATGTAATGATTCTGCAGGTGCAAAGAGCTCTGCCCATGTTTGAGAAGTAAGCCCCCCTGTGCTGTGTCTCAGCTGATATAATAGAAACTTGGGAAGGGAGTAATGGTGAAGATAGATGATATCCAGGTGAAGTGGTGGAAGAGGAGGATCTAGGCACTTTTTGGGGGAGGGTTTCTAATGCCATTGTGCTTGGGGACCTCCTTCGTGGAGAAGTTTTCAGAGACCATATGTTGCAAACAATTCAGTACAGCTTCTGAATCGAGCAGAGAGTTACAACATACTGCTACCTGAGTACGGGAGTATCTTTTCCCATTGACTAATGCTGCTCTCTCCAGCTCTTTTCAACCTCTGCAAAGAGTTGGTTTGATCCAGGATGCATGCTGTGTAATCCATTGCCACAGATTGCTTTTCATTTTTTTTTCTTTTTAAAATGAATTTTCAAAGAGAAGATCAAAGGCACAGCATGGCACAGGCAAAAAGTCAAGTTCAGATCTTTTTCGGTGACCATTACCCAAGACCAGAAAATCAGCAGCAGTCTTTTTTGTACAGCAATATTCCAAATAAAATCCACTGTGAATAACCAGGGTTGCATCTCAGAATTCTGTGCTCTTAATAATTACCTGATGGGGAAAGAGGAGGTAGGTTAGTTATTAAACCTAGTGCCATCCTCTCAGAAATTTTCCATTAATTATGTTAAGTGGTCTGGTGTTCAATTCTGTGACTCCCAGTGACTTTAGTAGAAGTCACATGGCTAAACACTTCATGTAGTAGCTTGTAAATAGTCTTTGGTTTGGAAGCAAGTGCACATTTTACATTTACACATCTAAGCTTTTGTCAAAGATATAATATGTCTGTTTACCTTGATTGCAAATAAGTATTATTGGTATGTGTTACAAAATATGGTGGGATTCTATCAGTAATATTGTCAGGTGGAAGAGCATGGGGTTTTAATCAGTATTATATCCAAACTGGAGGTTCATCCGGTCTCTCAATCCTTAAAAGTAATTTTCTTCTTTTCTTTCCCTCTAGGCCTACCTTATGGATGGGAAGAAGCATACACAGCCGATGGAATCAAGTACTTTATCAAGTGAGTGTTGGCATCAAAGCCACATAAATTGTTTCTATCACATCTGGAAGGAGATCCAAACCCCACCCCACCCCTGCCAAAGAGGCAGGTAAGGATCGGGCCCCCACCCTGGTGTACATGCCACTGGGGTTTACAAAGGTTTAATTCTCCCTAAATTGAAGCGGTGTTTTTAAAAACCCATCATTTCAATTTAGGGAGAACTAAACTGAATGAAACCCCTGTGGCGTGTACAAGCAGCCCTAGAAGCTACATAAAAATCAGTAGCGCAACAAGCATCATCCAACAATGTATGAAACAGAGTTGAAAAAATTCCATCCCCTAAGATGTCCAGCCACCTGAACATATAACCATACAAATGCTGAAATGGAAAATCAGTGTTTAAGTTGGCCTTGTGGTCCCACAGAAGGTGCTATATAGTACTGTACTTGGGAGTTTGCATGTAGCTCTGGTTCCAGTCGAAGGAACTTTTCCCAATGTCATCCCCAAAATCATAGGGATCTCTAGGTTCACTGACACTATGGATCTACCTAAGATTTGATGCCGGTGGCCCAGTCATTCTTTAAGCACACTCAAGAATCCTTTCTGCCACCTGCAGTGGTTCCTGGACAGCTAGTTAGGGAAGTGATGGATGTAGCTTCCCAGTCTCCTTCTATTCTGCATATAGTGCACCTGAATGCTTTCCAGTAGTGTGTTTGTCTCCCTTCATGATTTCCCCTTTTGTTTTTCTATTCTCTCTCTTTCCTCGCATTTATTTCCTTTTCATATTTGTCTCTATCCTATCTATTCTCCATTACACATCACCCATTCTGCAGGGGCAGATACAGGTAGAAGACCACACATAAGATGCTGTTCGGCTCCCTCTGCAGTCAGTCTCATGTGTAAAAGCCCTAACCAGTTCCTTTCAGTATCAAATGCTTTATCAAGAACTGGCTTTAGAGGGAAACCAATTAAGTTGTTACAAAATAAATCAGGTTCCCTTTCTATCCAGGTAAGTTTTAAAAGAGCGAGAAGCTGATAGATCAGGGGTGGGCAAAATGCACCCTACGGACCGGATACGGCCCACCAGGCCATTCTATCCGGCCCATGGGGTCCCTAAAAAATTTAGAGAATTACTTTTTATCTGCCCCTGGCTGCCTGTCATGCAGCCCTCAATGGCTTGCCAAAACTCAGTAAGCGGCCCTCGGCCTGAAATAATTGCCCGCCCCTGTGATAGATGCTGACTAATCCTAATCAATTCCCATCTGCAGTCTCTTTACAAAGAAACGTGCATGAGGAAAAGGACTAATATGCTAGTCATTTTCTCTTCGTTGCCAGTCCCAGATGGGCATCTTTTCTAATGCAGTGCCCTGTAGAGCTGCCAGTGCAGCTTCTCTCTCAGACCATCCCTGGTGTGGCAAAGCAATGTGCCTGTTGTGGAGAAAAGGGCCTTTGTAGCCAGGGCTTGTGTCTGAAATTAATTTGCACTGTTGCTGTGAAATAGAGGAGAAGGGTGGAGACATTTCATCATAATTATAAAGTGTCAGGAGTCCCCCAGGTGCCCTGCCATTGATTAAAAAGCTAAGTTATTACACCTTACACTGAAGATGCTAATTTTAGGATTGGTAACTTGAAATTATAGAATATTGACAGGTCAAATTACCACTGCCTTCAGGTTAACCTATCTTTACTCACTGAATAAGGCCATGGAAATTGGGCCTGTTATCAAGTGCCAAGTGCTTCTTGTCTCTATTTTGGTGTTAACAAAAGTAGTAGAAGTTTGAAAAATCTGTGCCTGGGGTCTGACAGTCGTTCCTGGACAGTTAGACCAGGGAGTGTGAGATGTGGTTTATTACAGCTATTTAGCATATTAATGTATTATGTTAATCAATAACAAATGGTCCATCCGAGTGCAACGTGGATGGTATAATAGCACTCAAGCATCTTACATGACTGAAGGTAGACTAAGGAATTCTATACCACATGAGTGACTGGTGCCTCCTGTATCTGGGGGGGCACCCGCAGAAGCTGCTGACAGTGGCAGCCCTGTCAGGGGGAGTATCTTCCCTACCGACAGTATCAGTGTCAGCCGTCGGGAAGGCACCATCCCCGTCGGGCAGGCACATGCACCCCCTACCAGTCACCTATGCTATACCATATTTTCTCACAAGCAACACACACCTCTTTTTCCAAAGACCAGCTGTTGAAATCGCAGTGCACATTAGGTATGAGAAATATGGTAAGAACAGTTTCTGCCTTACCATACAAAAGCTAAAGTAAAATCTGTGTCTGAATCTCAGGGAGCAGAACAATGAGCAGGCTCAGCTCCATAGCAGCTGCCATTCAATTGCTTACTGCAAGGAGAGATTGAAAATTCAGGGGGTAAATGAAGGGGGCATGGGAGTGTGTTATACACGCACCCCTCCACCCTCTCCCAAGCTCACCTGCAGTTAGGTGGAACACAAGAAGAACTATGCAAACAAATTAATTTTCAAACAACCCTCCTGAGACTAGAGGCAAGGTGACATTGAAAAGTTGTTGCAGGAGTGTATGGTATAAAGTACAATGGAAGGCTCTACAAAGCTTTCCACACTCTGGAGGGAGATTAAAAAGTACAAAGCATCAAGATCAGGCATCTCTTGTCATTTGCCCTTGGGTTTTCCTTAATTAAAGAATCTCCTTAATGATTATTTTCCTGAGAAATTAAAAGGAAAGTTAAAAGTTAGTTACGCCAGTGCCGCATTTGCAACAAGTGAAAAAATGATGATAAGATCTTTGAACCAAGTCCAAAGCGCTTGCAATGATTTTAGATTGTAGCACCCTGCAGCCAAAGTCACAAAATCCTTTACAGATTTGAGATAGATATCAACTGTCTTAGGGATCAAATCCACTAATTTATTTTTAACCTAATGAATAAAGTGGCTGCCTAATTAGTTCAGTGTTAAGACTGATTATGGAATGACTACCTGCTTGTCAGTGGGGGCTTGGGAACTCAATTGCAAGGTGCTTTGAGATCTTTGGATGAAAGATGCTTTAGCAGAGCAGGTTGTTACATGTAAGGCTGCTATGAAAAGGATCATAACGGTTGCTTCCTGCAGTACTTTCACAGCATCTGATGAAGTAAGCCACTGCTTATGAAAGGTCTGCTTTAATTAGTCTATAAGGTGCCTTCTGCCCTGTTTGAGCAGCCATGTCGCAGTAGATATTTTCCTATATTAAATCTGTGGTTCTCAACAGCTCCAACTGCAACCTTTGCTCATGAAAGTAACTATATATCCATGCAAGTACAGCACCCAACTTCATTGAGACGACTGGTAGGAGTACATGCTCACCCATCTGGGTTAGAATCGCTTAATTCAGGCCGGTGCTTTTGCAGCACAACTGTGGACAACACTGGACTCAAACCTCAAACTCACTGGAAGCCGGCTTAGTTCGACGTGGATTTGCATTCCCCAGCCAGCACAGTGATTCATCAGATTTTGCTCATGTTTGTGAACTTTTCATTAAAGCTAGATACAGACTTCTTGTTCTGACAGGACACTGCTCATGGTTCAAGCAATGTTATCTGGAAAAGGGCACAAAAGGGCAAATTGATTGTACCCTCCTGCTCTGCAGAGGCTCCTCATTGTGATTGGGAGCATCAGTAGAAGCCATTCCACTTGGCTTCTCAATCACAATTAGGTCTCAGCTGAGTTCTCCGATGCTGCCAGAAAAATCCGTGGGGAAGAAGCAGTTTCCCTGCATTTGCGCCCGTTTCTGTCGGACTTTTGTGAGGAAGTGAATTAGGCAAGCACATTGTTCTTTGTTCCAGCATGTAGGGGAAGCCCAACTGTGCTAATATTCCATTCCACACAGAGAATCCTACCATCCTGCTTGCTGGTTAGAAGAACAGCTGGCTAAAAATATACTTGGTGCCCATTTGGCGTGTGGTTGATAACCAGTAGCCTCTCCCGGCTCTCACATCTGGCACATTGTTCAGTTCCTGTGAGCAATTAGGCATGCATCATTTTGCTTTTGGACAGGCCTTCCATAAAAGTATATAGAGGATTCTGAGACTTACAAGGGTGCCTCCTGCAGCAGAATGAAATTACTTTTCCCTCCAGACCGCTATGGAAATTATATGTAAATACTGGAGCATTTAAAGATTGTGCGCCAGCTAGCAAGAGTAGGGGCATTTTTTTTTAACTGACTGCTCTGTTGTCCTTAACTTACCCTGTGGTGCTGACAGCTAGATTTATTAGAGCAGACATGGTTTTCCTGTAGTGGATTCCAAGTGAACCAGATAGGCTGCAGCATTCCATTTGTGGATGAGGGATTGGATTAAATATGCTGACTATTTTCAGATTGATAGGGGTTACTATGGGAGATTTATACCGAAGAATGATGCAAAGAAGTAATACAGGAAATTAAGATGAGCAGTGTTTTCCCATTAAAGTTTATACACTCTGCAAATAAAGCCAACAGAGGCAGAAATGCTCATTTTATGGAGCCTGAGACAAGCTGAATTTTACAAGCAACAGTGAAAATAGGGCGCTATCACATTAGGTCTGAAAAAGGATTGATTACTTCGTTTGGAGCTGGGAAGTGATTTCCTCCTCCTCCCCCTGGGACGGATGCAAACTCTTTTATGTAAATTAGAAATAACTTCACTGCATTTATGCCAGCGTAGCTGAGCAGAGCACAGACTGAACTAAAAGAACCCACGGTAGCAGCTGGCAAAATCCATCTTTGCTTAAATGTATATAAACAGCAGCAAAGCAGAAGAGTCTCATTTCATACTCTCTGATTTGCTTCTCAGTTTGGTTCTGTTACCAGCAGAAAGGCACACATGCAGTTTCTTGGTTCTCCTCCTGTCTCAACAGAAACCAGGATCCATTGAATATGCCTGAGGGGATTCTGTCAAGAGCTGAAGTTTTGAGATTTAAACTATAACAGATGTGACAATAAGGTGTAGATTAGCAATGGATGAACCGCTGAAGCCCAGTGGTGGAAAGTCAGTGTGCAGAAAGTATCAGATATTGAGA